CTGCTGTATTGCGGTACGATATTAATGTCCGCCAGTTTTTCCACGTCAAATTTCCCAGTCCCCGGTGCGCTCTGTCACCAGCCGAAAACCCTTTAAATGCGGCGCATTAAACAAACTCGAAAATCCACGAGGCTCGTGTATAATATATATAGAAAGTTAAGTGGGCTGTATAGAGGCGTACCTTACCTATACAGCGAGCTGGTTTCCTCGCTTATTTTCACATTTCTCGGGACGCCGTTTCGCCGTGGCCGTCGCGTATCGTTCAACCGTAAAAACGATCGATGGTCACTTTCGGTGTTGTCGCCAACTCATACGAATATAAATGTGCTGGGGCGCGTGTAAAACAGGCCGATTCCGAAATGTACGGCTATTTGGGGGGAGGAAATGGTGCAGCAATCCGTGTGGCTTACACAACGCGTTATACTTCAAAATGTTTAGGTACATTATAATGTGTACCTACCAGGTACAATAAATTGTTGTACTTATTGTATTTTCATGCGTTATTCAATATTGTATACCGCTTTTCCGATAATATCATTCAAAAATGTATCGTAAAGGAGCTTTCCTTATAACCGGAACTATCAAAGATCTATAGTATTATGGATTTCCCACACTGCCACTGAACAACGTACATTTTGGCAATGTATTTATATTGTTATTGCGACGTTTTGATGGTAAAATATTTGATACTAAATCGTAGGTGCGTGGGACTCTCAAAAGGTGTCTATGTAGTATTATTGTAGTCCTACGAAATAAAGAAAAATATTATTTCGGTACACTGAAAACAGTATGCTACATAAGGTATATTATACTACAGGATGAGGGCAGAGCCAACTGACTAGTTTTTAAAGGCTGTAATACGCACGCACGACGAAACTTCGATGTACAACCAGATGTACTGTCCAGACCATGGTATGACTAAAAAAGGCATAATCGTGGAATTCAGGCGCACACTGAAATCGGACCTGTGAGATCATCTACATACGATACGGCCGACAATCTTGTTGATATAATTTTTAAAAAGTAATTTCAAAAATGGGACTTCCTACTAATTTCGATAAACTGTTTTCCTCTAAGTTTAACTTTTCAGAATTTATAGCCCTTCAAAACTCGTCAGTTGGATATACGCCGCACCCTATATCTTACAATATCCGTGTATATATTATTTTATGCAAATACTCTTGGAAATTACGAGGCAATCGTCGACGAACCATATTATTACACTACTTAGGTATACCGTTATACTATAATAGAGTTTTAAATTGATTTCGTCGTTAGTGTTTAAATGTACCTGCGTATTAATACACAGAGTGACACGGTAATGAACACATTTTTAAAGCGTTAAGCGGAAATGGGACGTGATCTCCGCTCCCTCTACCCGTTAGAGTTGTTTTGACAAATTTCTTTCCCCGACCCACTAGTTTCGTCATCCATAAATACACGTATAAGAGTAAATTACATAACACATAGGACCTAGGTATATATAACTGTATTGATAAAAAAAAAAAACACTCAAGTCATTAGACATTTCACATTACCGGTGGCGATGAGAAATAAATTACGACTTCGTTTTCAAACGAGCCTTGACGACGGTCGATATTTAATTTTCCCTGTGAAAAAGCCCCAGTAGGAAAGTAGACAGGTATACACATATAATCAACTTAAACGCATTGGAATTCAAAAAAAAAATCAAAATGTTTAGATGACATGAGTTAAACATTATAACAATGTACACTACCTATCGGTTTAATTCGACGTTATAATTTATTAAACCAACATTAAATTTTTTAAATGGTATTGATGAAATTTGGAAGTCTGCCGTGAACGTAGAATTTAAGAAATTAAGTATATTATATAATAATGACACGACTTTATGATTTGAAAATAAGACCGCTCGGCCACTCCATCCCTCCGAAAATAACTTATACAACTATAATCTAATCTAATCAATCATTGGGGGCTACGGAAATTTGGGACTGAACCGCTGAGCTATAGATTAGACCAGCTGTTCCCAACCTTTTTTATATTACATTTTTCAAGTACCACTTGCCCTAATAACCTTTTTTTAATTTTATTTATGATTATATAATTATTAAAATATGAGCAATTAATGCATAAAAGTATAACATTAAAATATGTAGTTGTTATAATGTAGTTATTTTTTGATTATATATGCATTTTAATTATTAATAATGATCAGAGCCTGCCTTATTGATAGGGGTGGTGCTAAAAAGTTATATTTTGAGAACTCATCTAAAAAATATTCACAGGCCCAGGCTCACCTTAAGGCCGGCTCAGACAATGATTATATCTGATGATAAATAATACAATGACAATTATATACAAGCTTACTCATACACAGGTCAACATGTGTCTTATATTTAGGTACATTTTTGTTAATTTTTTTTTTAATCAAAAACTTCTTCACGTACCACAGGTTGGGATTAGACAGTATAGTATAATAGTATGAAGCACTGAACAATTAATGTATCTGAAAATATCGAATATTTAAAAAAATTCTTATAAATGACTATTCAAAGTATAGACAAACAGATAGTATTAAGCCACGCATTTGTGAATTACCTATACTGGCCAAATTACTCCTATTATCAAATCACCGTACACTTTTAGATAAATAAAAAACAATTTTTTTTTATAATGTCGACATTTTAAGAATATTAATTTTGCTCCAGATAATGGAAGGAAATGGATAGTAAATTTATTGTTTGCAAGTTAAATGTTAATACCCTGTCTTCTGAAATAAAGAAAAAATGTATAAAAAATATTCAAATATTAGAATTCTGTTAAAAATAATATACTGCTTCAAACTACAAAAAATATTTTTGAAAAATCGTACAATAAACTTTGAAAAAATTGTATTTACCATTGAATATACGTCTTCTATAGACATAACGGTCTTTGAATACTCGATTTAATTATAGTCGTTTATTTTCTTTTAAATTCGTCCGTTGTTTCCGTTATTATTCGAAGAATATGCTAAAAATTAAAAAAAAAATGTTAGGTATTTAATTTTTATGCATTCTCTAATATTATATAAATGTTATCATTAATATCCACGTTAATTAATCACACACGGTTTTAACAGCGATGTATGTTAATATGCAGGAAGCATTGTTGTAGGTATATTATAAAAATCAGAAACAGGAAACGCGATTGAAATAGGTACATTATACATCGAAGGAAATCATACTATGGGTAGGTAAACGGATTAAAAAAAAGATCCCTGTAACTAATGAACCGATTCGGTTCAACCGAACAATGGTTATCGTTTCATTGACTTTTTCGGGACTAGAAAATGCGGAAAAACGTTTTGTGTCCCTTTTTTTTTTTTTAAATAATCGACGATAAAGATTGTTACTGTCGGGACGAAAAAACAAGAGTCGCACATAAATTGTTTGGGGAAAAAAAATAGCATTCCGAATAAACATGTTGTTATTTTGTCCGTCGTCGTTTACGGAAAAAAGAAAAAAAACGTTTCTTCTTTTTCGCTACACTCGAAATATCCTCACTGGAGACCATTCGATAAAGCCCAAAACACTTAAAGTAAACGCTACACAACTAACAAGTATAAAAATATATAAAAACAAAAAAAGTACCGTTTTTCTACAAACACAAACAGTTTGTACATAAAAATAAAATAAAAAATAACATCGCCAATTTCTGCCTACTATATTGTAACAAATAACAGCCTTTTCAGAAACGGACGTTTTACAAAGAGTATTATTATTCTTGTTTTTGTGTTATTGGTTTAGTGCCTTAGAGGTTATTATTTCATTTCTCAGTAAGTAACGATGTCCCAAAGTCGATGTCGTTATAATTAATTTCACTGGAGTCAATAATTAAACACTGTGTTGACTGATTTTCTGGTCGTATATATATTTCGAAATGTTTAGTCGTAAACTTTAAAACGGTCCAATATACGCAGTCGAGCCTCTATTATATTATTATATTGAATGGTATTAAATATTATACTCGTAGGGTTGGGCAATGGGCAGTAATCAGTTACATGTATCAAAGTTACACTTGTGACATTTATAACTTGCAATCAGTTTTGTAACTTTCAAGTATCGTTAAAATGTAACTAGTTATAATTTGCATTGTAATTTTGAATACAAAATACATATATATTATATAATATTGTAGGTATATCGTATATAAAGTTACATTTACATGGATACCATTTATTACTAAATACTTACAAATAATAATCGAATGATTTCAATATCGGTTGTCATTATTTTTTATCAAAAAATATTGTGTAGGTACAATGAACAAATATGAAATTTTAACAAATTATAGTTATACCTATAAGTATAATTTTTTTTTATTTTTTACAAAAACAATATAGGTATTTGCACCACCAATATACATTATTACAATATTGGCTACAACAACGGAGTAAGATTTAATGGACTGGTGATTTGACATTCACCCCCCCCCCTCAGAACTAGGATATAATAATTGTCCACCATTTGTTAGGTTAGGTTAGGTTAAGACCGATTGTACGACCTTGCTAGCAGTAACTGTATGCAATCAGTTATATAATATATATATTGCCTAGCTTCTGGAGACTCGAGCACGATTCATATCACCGTAGTCGGCGAGACTAACGGAGATGTTATATAGCTATATATTATCAACTTCAGTGCCGTAGGCAAGTGTGGAACTTGGGGCACGTGCTCTACACCCCGACACTGTTGTTGATTATTTTTGTTTTACCTAGCAATAAATAGTATAGCAATAGTATAATAACATAAAAAGAGTATTTAAAATAATACATTGTATGGAATCAATCGGTTAATGGAATCAAAATGACCTAAACTAACTATAATGTGTGATGTGTTTATTTTATAACATTTTAGCCCGACAAAGCACCAACCCCGTCAAGCTCACAGAAAAAAAAAAAAAAACAATAACAACAAAATATTAAATTATATGCCGTGTGATAATTTTTTTGTATTTCCATTGTCTGTCGACAGGCGAACACCCTGCAGCGATGCAGCACGGAAACCGGAGTGCGGTCAGCGGCCAGATGACCGTCCACGTGCTAGCCCTGTTCAGCCTGGTCATAATGCTGTCCAATCCGGTGCTGTTCGGACACTGAGGAAAGCAAACCGAGGATGGCGGGGATGCGATGGCGACGCCACCGTCTCATCGTCCTGACCTCTCCTTCGACCCCCAAGCATCCACATACCCCCGCCCTCGCCGCCCTCCAGGCATGGTACGCCGCGAAATCTTATTTTTCTTCGTCAGCCCAGGGACGAGTAGGAAGACGACCGACCGAACAGATGCGGACGGTGTTTCTCTACTCGTATACATATTATACTACATACATTATAATATATATTATATTATAACACTATAAAATATTATATACCTAAACATTTCACGCGTTTATAATACTATATATTAAGTCTGTCGTATATGGTGTATTCGGAAAAAAAAAATTTTTTAACTGTAAAATTGTAAAATAAACGATAGCCTAAAAAACGTGACGCGCGTCAATCGAACGAGCGCATGACCGTTACCGGGGTTTAGGTGCGCGGGCAGGAGACCAGCTCGAATCCGGACAAATTATCGTCGCGACGTCGATTTTTTTCTCGACGATTCGTCCCTAAGGGTTACTGCACATATAATATACAATACAGAGACAAGCCTCGATCGTGTGCCCCGTCTAGGGGGGGTGGAGGACGTGCTTGCGTCCTTCGACGATGCCTGTGACACGGAGTACACAGCTGGCTCATTCGGAGTCGACTAGATCGGACGATCGTCGTTTATTCACCGGTCTCGAAGATTCGGAATTTTGTCCGCGTAGACCTTTTTTTTCATTTGTCACGCTATAACAATGTTATACACGTTACACCTATCTATTATAAATGCGACATTCTCGCGGGACGTGTGCCGTTCATCGATTGTGCAAAGAATGTTTTCACTATTATTATTATTATTATTATTATTATTATTCGATTTTGCCAAATGTATTTCTCTGTACTATTGTGGCAAGGGGTCGAGTACCGGTATTGGGATGTAGGTATACCTATATAATACATATTATATATACCTGCCCAGGTATATAAAAAAAAATATCTATACTCACAAGTAATAATTCATTGTTTCCTCTTCATCCGTTTGATTCGGAACGAAAAAATAAACACAATCACTCTCCCCTATGTATACGCATATATGTAATATATATTATATACATAAAATATTATATATATATATACACACGCACATCACGTCACGTATACATACACAAACACACTATATATTCTGTCGGATCAGAGGTCAAACAATTTTTCATAGTTTTTCGTGTTTCATTTTTTATTACCGCCGAACAAAGCGGAGGAAATATTCCTTTTATCGCACCCGCGTGATTTCAACCTTAAACATCGTCCGCGTGCACACACAGTGCGTTACCGCCACCGCCGAAGCCATATTTTTATTATTGTTATTATTATTATTATTATTTTTACGAAACGTCCAATGAAATTATAAAACATACTAACCGTCGTCGACGTGCAGTAATGAGTTTAAACGCGTTTTTAGCAACAAAGATACAAAAAAAATCCTGTGTTCTCAGTTTATTGCTAAAACGATAATCGGTTTAGCGTGAGCGCATTTACTCACAAGTTTATCCACACAATATCTCTACTACGTACCGCGGTTAAATTACACCGTCAATACGCAATATGGTAAACGTATATTATGCGATATTGTATACGACAGGGTAGTAGATTAGAATAACCATTTTTGCTAGAAAAAAATCCTTCAAAAAACATCTCTAATTTTTCTTTCTGGTTTACAGAGGAAAAACATTTAATAACGCATGGGGGCGCCTTCGTGACTCGAAAGTAAAACTTTTAAAATTTTCATTTTACTAATCAAAAAAGTTTCGTACCTACTTAACCCGACGATAATGAATTTGTTACGGGAGATGCACTAATTATTAAACGTCTAAAATATAAAATCGATAGACGTTATCGACAATTCACTTTGTTAAAAGTAACATTATACAAAGAAAAAAATGTATCAGATAGTAAATACAGTTATTACTAATTGAGAGGAGGAGACGAAGATAATCTTACGAAAATCTATTAATCTAATACCAGTGCGTAGGTATAGCGTTCTCCACAGACTAATCCAACCGTTTTAAGTATGGAGAAAATAATAATCGATTGGGTTAAAAAAAAATCACAATTCGTAAATAAATTTAATTTTCAATCATTTTTATGTTATACTGCACAGCAGTCTAATTAATAATCTACTTAAACGAGCGAGTATTTTTGCAGTTTTAACAGCACCTCTGTTCGAGTCTACTCATCCGCCAGCGAGCCCTCCGGGTGTGTAAACAATGAAAAAACGTAAACGACGGATTTCTATTTTATAATACCCAATGTACAAATAATACCAATAGCTGATGACATAAAAGTTCAAAAAATATCGCAACGGTTAACGTAGGTTATAATTATCGTTAATAACGCTGACCGACGACATTAAAATTTAAACCTCGTTACTATACACTCTTTCTGAGAGGGTAGTTAAATCGGACTCCACACTGCACCAGCGCTGTGAGTTCAATACCGTCATACATTTTATACGTATAGACTATATCATATACCTACTACTATTATACTGCTACTACTACTAATACCACTCTAATAGTATGTATGTATTGATATTGTAAATATACATACACCTATTATTAGGCCGTTAAAAACCCATAAATGTATACAGGGTGATTATTTTATTTTCGGTGAGGACCAGGCGCCGTGTGCGAGTTCGTTTATTATTGTTTTCCGACTTTTAAGTGTAAACGTATTTGAGTTGCGAAATAATAAACACAGGGAACACTGCTGTGGTCGTTAAAATATAAAAGTGCTAAAAACGCACCCGGACAAGGTGTGGCCCGGTTTGCGATAAAATCAATAATCACCCTGTACATATATACCCACCACGTGCACAGTGTACATACTCTATACAGTTTATATTATATTATACACTCGACGTTACACGACATATAATAATAATAATAATAATAGGTATAATATACGTTAAAATTTAATGAACCGAAAGAATTCGATTTACGGTCGCGACTTTATACGGCAGGTACCATACCCGGGGCGGCCCACCCTCATCCGGATAGGTATATTAAGGGTATACGTAACATCTACGGCTAAAAGTCAATTTACCGGATTAGCGAACGGCGGCGCATGTTTTCCACCGACGCATATACAGCGTGGTTCGATGATGATGATGATGATGATGATGATCGTCTAATAATAACAATATAAGTGTGTATTGTTGCAGTGCAGTTTGACTCACGAAAGCCGTTTTTTAGAGCCAAGTTTCGAAGACGTCACCGGAAAAGTAAAGCTAAAACGGTTACTATAGCGGTTACGCAATAACTTCAATCCAAGCATTATTTTGAAAAAAAATTACATTTTTTTCGACCCTAAGAGTTTCGAAAAAAACGACGAGATTTAAGCGCAAGCACAATCTATTCGTATCCATGACGTGTAGTTTTAATCGTTATTAAATTATAATAATAAATTACGCGAAACGTCTAAAACCCGTTTTCCAATACCGAGCTCTGTCCTAAGCACATACAAGTATCGTGATAGCAGGATAATAATACAAACGATCCGACCAGATGTTTATTACAGGGTGTATCAAGAAGATTAACATTTTAAATGTGTCAAAATAATATTCGTGAAACGAGACCTATATTATACAACCCACCGATCTCATTGCGCACCTTCTTCTCAACGCTCTTCTGCCTGTCGCTCACGATCATAATATTATATATACTAGTTCTTTTCCCGCATCCGGCTCTGAGGGAACACCCCCGCCAGACTCGCCCTCCCGGTATTTCTTTCGGGGCAGTCATGTTAGGTTTCTCCACTGCAGACACGACTCAATTTTTGGCTCAGTATACTACACTGTATACGACTCTATATCAGCAGCTCGTGTCGGACACCTGCAAAAATTATGATGTCATCTCATTCGAAGGGGTGACAATTAAAACACACTGCTGCAAGGAATATATTGGCATACATGAGCACTGAAATTCTTCATAGCGCTAAAACCGTTACATACCCAGCAGGGATTAGTTCTGCAAAAATGCAGAAATCGATTTTCCATTTCCATTTATGATTTTGGCGACCGCCGTTTATAATTATTATTTGTTACCGTATTTCCATATTTTACGCGTTTTCTTTATTATTCCGTGTTCTTCTCTTCTTCGTTTTCTTATGTACCAAAAAATCATAATGAAATAAAGGAACGCGCAATTTCGTGAATGTTAATTTCAACAACAAGATGAAGATGTCTGTCTCTCCACCTGTAAAATATACAGTCGCGCAATAAGAATAGTAAATAATAAATAGTATACTTATTAATACGTTATAATATGTATATATGAAATATTTTCAAATTCTCCATTGAAATTAAATTTAAATATCTCATAATATCTTTCAGACGCATCCTGTATGTGTAAAAATATACCTAAAAAGCGAATATACTGCGACGGTGATATGAATATTATTATATTTTGTTTTAAACTGCTTTTTTCATTTTTCTCCACTGCGAGGACTACTACTGTCGTATTAGCGAAACGCACTTATTTATTGAATTCTGCACGACAGAAATAAGAGAGCTTCATAAAAATAATATCACATTTTACTCACCCCCGCGCTACACATCTCTATAATCCTCACCGTTCGGCGACTTTCACTCCGCCCTCTGGGGACCTCGGAAACGGACGTCATTTCTTCTACCCCCGAGGCTATTAGAAAATATGGAATTCCCGCGGTCATAAATTCACATATCCTGCAAATTGAAAATACAACCACGTCGTCCTCGCGTGTGTGTGTTTATATATAGGTGGTTACTTTATACCTACTTTATGTGTTCCCAATAAGTTCGGTCGTACTTGAATTCTGCCTCAAATCGTCACACGAAAACACTGTATACACGAGTATATAAGTGCGAGTCAAAGCCTTTACGACGAAGACGCCGCCGTCGCTGGTTTTATATCTTGTTTTTACTCGTTTCTCGTTTTTCCTACACACGCTTCGATTACTTTGCATAGAAACCGGAAAG